ACAGGTACGAAACGCACGATTTCAATCTGCATTTACTCCCTCTGAAATCTTCACTGACCAGCGGTTTTACACCCGGTGTAACATGCATGCCTGCTCATGATACATATCCTACCATGCCTTAAATTGTTATCCGTGCAAGAGTTGTCCCAAAACTCCTCCAAGGCCTAAATCCACTCAAGGCCTCCGGTCCTGATGACATCAGACCTATTGTCCTTAAAGAGTTTGCGACAGAAATAGCCCCGATCTTAACTCTGATAATCAAAGTCATTGACAACAGGTACATACATGTAGTTCCTCTGGGTTTGAAATCTGGCAATGTGTCAACTGTGCATAAAAAGGTCCAAAATCCAATCCAGAAAAATATAGGCCCATATCGCTAACATGTATCTGTAATAAAATCATTTCTACTACTCCATCATTTAAAACATTATGGTATAAGGGTCAATGTCATCAACTGGTTGACAGTTTCCTTGTTGGTAGAGCCCAAACAGAAGTAGTAGAAGGTGAAAGTCTGACTCTGTCAATGTCCATTCTGGAGTACCCCAGGGATCGGCTCTTGGACCCAGCTTATTCCTCATTTTTGATAAATGACATCCTTGTGGGTCTGAATGCTACATTTCGATTATTTGCAGATGGCACTATTGCAAATCTGGTTGTCAGGTCGAACAGCGATGCTGTAGCAATGCAGGAAGACCTTGACGAACTGGAGCTCTGGGGGAATATATGGGAAAAGGCCTTCCAACCGAGCAGATGTAATGTGCTATCATCCATAATTACAACGTAGACGGACATACATTAGAGCATGTGGATCAAGCTACGTATTTGGGTGTCACACTACAATCTGACCTCAAGTGGGACTCCCATATTAATAACATCTGCTCAAAGGCTAATTCCACCCTAGGCTTCTTGAGCCGAAAACTTAAAATTAGCTTTACAGCAGCCAAAGTGCAGGCATATAAATCACTAGTACGACCATCACTAGAATATGCTTGCACAGTATGGGATCCTCACATCCCAACACATATTGACAAAATTGAAATGGTGCAGCGCAGGGCTGCGAGTTACGTGCTTTATTATAATAGGCACATACTGCAATCACCGTACCTCAAGTGTGTCTGAAATGTTGGACCACTTAACATTTGATGAGTTGTGTCCTCTAGCAGGTAGACGTAGATAATTAGTATGCTCTTCCTACCATGTTTTACAATATTATCAATTGTAAAGCTGAAATAGCAAAATCTGACAGACTTATCCCCCCTGTCAGAAAACCCAGGCATGGAAACGAGCTCTCTTTCCAAAGTCCTTTCTCCAAATCTCAGTCTAGAAAAGAAACTGTCTTCCCTCGAACTATACACGAGTGGAATAAGCTCCCTCCTAATACCGTAATTAATCTGCCAACAAACTCTTTCGATTCAAGCCCCTACCGTCACTTTGCAAAAACCAACTAAATTCTTTCAGTCGAAAACTTTCCTTTTTCCATCTAAATCCTCCTCTGACATCAATCTTCACATTGCTGGAGTTGGTCAGTGCCCTTTAGAAGTGGAAATATTATCAAAGATGCGCCCCATTGATCGCGTTCATCTTAAATATGATTTTAACGGTCAAGTGTTCATACCATCATAGGGTCATGTAGCAATACGTATTTTAATCCTTGAAAGAATCTATGTCTGACGTCATTTTTTTTTGATAACTATTTCTAATCTCCGTGAAAAAAAAATCGTCTCTCACATCGCCAGTTTTCATATTTATTTATTTTAGCTTTTTGTGATAAGCTTACCAGAGTTACGTGCCCTTCACCAGCCATATTAGTTTGAGAGGCGTATCACATTTTTTATGTACATGTATGTCATTAGTTACCTTGGTAGCAGCGTAAACTCATATAAAATGCGAGTTATATTGAAGTGAGGGATATATAATAGCCGTTCATCAAGGAAAAGATTGGATTACTAAAGTTACTCACAAATGATTGGGTGCACATTGAATTCACAGTTACCCAAATGTACTTTTAACAAAGGGAAATAACTCATGTGTGCCTCACCAATCCAAATTCATATTATATTGGAAATTCGCAATTTTTATGTTGTGTTCAGTTTCTGAATTGAGTCACTCCCACTGTTTATGTGGCGTTAAGTTTCCGATTCGAGTCATTCTCACTTTTAATGTTGTGTTGAGTTTCTGATCTGAGCCACTCTCACTGTTTATGTGGTGATGAGTTTCTTGTTTGAGTCATTCTCACTGTTTATGTTGTGTTGAGTTTCTGATCTGAGCCACTCTCACTGTTTATGTGGTGCTGAGTTTCTTGTTTGAGTCATTCTCACTTTTTATGTTGTGTTGAGTTTCTGATCTGAGCCACTCTCACTGTTTATGTGGTGCTGAGTTTCTTGTTTGAGTCATTCTCACTTTTAATGTTGTGTTGAGTTTCTGATCTGAGCCACTCTCACTGTTTATGTGGTGCTGAGTTTCTTGTTTGAGTCATTCTCACTTTTAATGTTGTGTTGAGTTTCTGATCTGAGCCACTCTCACTGTTTATGTGGTGCTGAGTTTCTTGTTTGAGTCATTCTCACTTTTAATGTTGTGTTGAGTTTCTGATCTGAGCCACTCTCACTGTTTATGTGGTGCTGAGTTTCTTGTTTGAGTCATTCTCACTTTTAATGTTGTGTTGAGTTTCTGATCTGAGCCACTCTCACTGTTTATGTGGTGCTGAGTTTCTTGTTTGAGTCATTCTCACTTTTAATGTTGTGTTGAGTTTCTGATCTGAGCCACTCTCACTGTTTATGTGGTGCTGAGTTTCTTGTTTGAGTCATTCTCACTTTTAATGTTGTGTTGAGTTTCTGATCTGAGCCACTCTCACTGTTTATGTGGTGCTGAGTTTCTTGTTTGAGTCATTCTCACTTTTAATGTTGTGTTGAGTTTCTGATCTGCGCCACTCTCACTGTTTACAAGTGAACATTGCTAGAACTGTGTCTGATTAAAAGATAACCAAAGCAGCCAACATCATTGTACTATTGTAAATAACCATTCGTAAAACTACATTTTACTCATTTGTATGTAAACATGAGACACCTTTATCTGTTCAGTGTACGGGTCAAACAACAGGTGCATAATTGTGATATTTGTTAAGAAATGATAACAATATACGTATACCTATAACTATAAATTAGCATTGTTCTTATCGAAGGGCATTCTTTGCTGTTTTCAATACAAAATGTGCATATTTATTAAACTAAATATTCGCAAAAAAAATACAACAAACAAACAAAAAAATGGTCATAAGTTTTTTCTTTGACGTAAATCTATGCTATTGATAAACAATCTCTAAACTATTGATAAACTTGGTGCCAATAAGAATATATAGTAAACACAGCGTGATTATAACCAAGACTGAACAATATGAATATTACTAAGTACAATATGTGTATCTTGTCTAGTGTAACGCGATACTTCAGGAATGTTATCAGATACATCTCTAAAAAAGACACCAGACATATTAGTATATCCTTACGATACAAACAGGGGCCGCGTCTGACATTCTGCTACCATTGGCCCTTCACTACTGGGTCGCGGGTTCGATGCCTACGTGGGGCAGTCGCCAGGTACTGGCCGTAGGTTGGTGGTTTTTCTCCGGAAACTCCGACTTTCCTCCACCACCAAAACCTGGCACGTCCTTAAATGACCACAGGACGTAAAACACAAACAAACCAAACCAAACCTTACGCTACAAACAGGTATGTGATTAACAGGTACATACAATGTATATCTGTGACGTAGGTAGGGTATAGGTAGGGTATACACTGCAGGAATTTGTAAAGGTACAAAACTGTCTGGTCGAAAAGTGTATGTACCTTAAAGTTACAATAAATACAGCTCGACAAACAAATACGTTTAATGTATGATTTGAAAAGTTTCGAATATTTCACTTTTAAGTTAATTAGATCATATCTAAATTATCCGGAATATACTTCAAAGGACATTTTTATGTGTGTTATAGACATAGCTAGCATTCATCAATAACTTGATATAACGATTTTGATTTTATAGCACATTCGGAAAATATATTTTTTTTTACTATAGTCGTGAAAAATATTGACAATTATCATCGTATATTACTCAAAAAGGCGGTGCCATTTTTGTGCCAAAAACTATCCATCAAACGGACGCCGCAGACAGACGGACGAAGGGGAACCTGCAAACACTAGCACCTCCTCCTTCTACTGCATTGTGATCAGAAGCACGCAATTTGAAGAATAACACTTCGCTTGTTCATGCACTCAAACTGCCCAATTCCCATTGAATCAATTGATTTAATAAAATATTTTGAAATGAAAAAATGCACTCATCTATGTTATATATACATGACCTCTTGTTACACATATTATGTGTGTCTGAGTGAAATAAAAATCTTGAAAATCTTGTTCGATCTTCTTCAACGCAACCGACTGACAGTGCAGTTAAAGAGAGTTCGCTTTAAATGGCTGCGTTGTTGCCTGGTACAACTGTCGGAACCACTAGATAATGAAGAGAAACTTAAATATGGGAACAGGTTATGATCTTGTCATGAATCGGACTAAGGTAGGCACAGCATTTTACCTGTAATACGTACCTATACGTTTACCGCAATGTGCATTTAAAGATTTATTTTGATATCCCGAAAATTTCTTGGTCTAGATTAATACATACACAATATACGAAGATTGAATCATTAAATGATCGCTGATAAGTGTTTGTTTTTCTAAACTAGCTGTACCTGACGCCCTCATTAGAGTCTGTACGGTATTTCGACAGGTACAGTTTAATTCACATTAGAATATACTACAGATTATATACCATAAACTCTTTTCGTACCTCACAGTTCGTATAGGTGTTATACTTACAAATGCAAAACTGACCTGACTGAAATTTCATCCGATTATTGTGTCATTTTAAATCTAAACCGTTAAGCCTCAGTGGATTTCAATAGAGTTTTGTACCTCAGTATTCCCACTCAGACGACCCCACATACACAGATATGGATTTTAAAACTGTATATCTCTGTTCGTATTTATCTATATTGGGACACGTCGACAGAAAGTACAGACACCGTCAATAGTTAAATTGACAATATTACCGATCTGTTGTTCTAGAGAGCTCGCTCTTCAAATAGAATGCTCACAAGAGCTTTTAAAGTACGACTATTGCAGTTAAATCCTTTGAAGCGGCAGCCATATTGGAACTTGTGCGTCCTTGGTAACCCACAGAGGGGCTTAGGTATATACTGGACGGGTGTTAGTATTACGTTGCGTGTAACAGTAGGAGGTACAATGTGACGCTGTGAGGCCAAATAACACTAGATGAAGATGAACGGAGTTTCAGATGACGGTACGTTATTAATTAAATTTATTAATTCATATAATTAAAATAATTGAAAAGATAAAGTCGATGTGCATTGTAATGGTAATACTGGTAAGTACGTTGGCAGGTTTTCCTACATTGGCTGAAGATGAATGCTATTTTAGATAACGTAATTAGTTAATTGATAATGTTAATCATTATACTGCAAAATCAACTATTTAAGCATGCATAACGTAAGAAGGTTTTCCTATATTGGCTGAAGATGAATATTATTTTGGATAACGTTATTAGTTAAGTGACATGTTAGTTAATAGATAATCAACCATTTAAATGTATGCCAATGTGAATTACAGTAATTACCAAAGATAAATCCATATATACGTTGGCAAATCTTGTTCTAATGATGAAATTATAAGAGGAAGTTAATCAATATTGCTATAATTTTTTTTATATAATAATAAAATTAAATATGGAATTAGAATTGGATTGGATTTATATACAATTTAATCCCAAATGTACTTTGATAATGATACTGACAAACACCGTTTCATAGAACTACAAAAATCACGGTCGAATTTTTTCATCTACAAGTTGAAACATATACATTATGACTACAGTGTACAGTATTTTTTTTTTATAGCAGTCAACCTTCATATAAAACTTAAATTTAAGTGTTTAATCGAGGCAGACGAATTATGATAGACATTACGAGTTTTAATCGATTTATATGAGAGAAAAAAAATATGATTCTGATTATGAATTATGAATTCGATAGACCAAGTTGGCTTATAAATGACATTCGTGAATTTTGCGAAGAGGTCCATTTAAAATAAAGTACTTAATGTCGATAAAAGTCCATTTTTCAAACAGTCTATCGACAAAATTAAAGTGCCCATTATCGTATATTTATTATGTCAATGTACTTTGAATAATATATATAAAGTAAGTCTGATGAATTTATGAATATGCAAATATGGTTCGCAAACAATGTTAAATCCATTTTACAAATTCGTGGATTTGCATAAATTGGTTTATGTTCTTATATTAGTAGTTTAGTACGTAATTAGTAGGCAGCGTAGCTAATCCTTTTAGCTTCATGAATTATTAGATGTAGATATCATCAAATCAGTAATTTGATCCATTGAATGGCTCAATGACTTAACGAGATATTGATGGATTAGGTCTTGATTTGACTCATTCATTAATTGGTAGTTGATTCGAGCGAGTGGTTGATTGATTGACTGACTAGTTGGTTGGTTGCTTACTTGCTTGGTTCGTTCGTTTCTTCGTCCATTCATTCATTCATTCATGCATTCATTCGTTGGTTCGTTGGTTCGTTCATTCATTCATTCATTCGTTGGTTCGTTGGTTCGTTCATTCATTCATTCATTCATTCGTTGGTTCGTTGGTTCGTTCATTCGTTCATTCGTTCATTCGTTCATTCATTCATTCGTTGGTTCGTTGGCTCGTTCATTCATTCATTCGTTGGTTCGTTGGTTCGTTCATTCATTCATTCGTTGGTTCGTTGGTTCGTTGGTTCGTTCATTCATTCATTCATTCATTCATTCGTTGGTTCGTTGGTTCGTTCATTCATTCATTCATTCATTCGTTGGTTCGTTGGTTCGTTGGTTCGTTCGTCCATTCATTCGTTGGTTCGTTGGTTGGTTGGTTCGTTGGTTGGTTGGTTCGTTGGTTCGTTGGTTCGTTGGTTCGTTGGTTCGTTGGTTCGTTCGTCCATTCATTCGTTGGTTCGTTGGTTCGTTGGTTGGTTGGTTGGTTGGTTGGTTCGTTGGTTCGTTCATTCATTCATTCATTCATTTGTATAGTCGGTTTATGGTTGACAGGTATACTAGCTCATTTAATGCTTGATTTGTTGTTTGTGTGGTTGATGATAACATGCTAATTTAAAAAAAAAAAGTTTCATGGTTAAGTGTTTTCCAAAATGAAAATCAATGTCTGCTGTGATCGTTAGATGCATGAAATACAATTCACGATCTACTCGACAGCATTCACAAAAAAAATCATCAAAGACTAGACATTTGAAGAATATCACCAGAGGCGTGAACCGACGTGAGTCATGGCACCCACTTAAAACGTCACAATATGACGTCACGATTTAAAATCATGAAAGTAAGTTTTTGAAATCATCTTACTAAAGTTGTAAAAGGCTGCTGGAAAAAAGTGACTGAGAAAATATGATAGTCTCATGTTTCAGGCATGTCACCGGGGAACATTACACTTACCCTATTACATATTACTGAACATATATGTACACATGTTTGTAAAATCGACTTCAGTTGCCAAATGTGTAAGAATGGTATATTGTGACTGATATTAAAATAGAATTAGTTATAAAAAAATGGACGAGATATTCGATATTAATTTCAAATAAGCGCACATGAAAGTAAAACTACTGCACATAGACAAGTCTACCTTCGGATCGGTCACATTTAAAGAGGCAATAATAAACTAACCAAACAGACGATAATACAAGTTTATATTTACAATACCTCCGACGGTGTTAACAGAACACTTGTGATACATAAGTATATTGACAAATGTAACGCAGACAAAATATGAAATAACATAACACACGAGGAATTCCAAATATAAAATGATCATGTTGAAGAGATTCAAATACCTTTTGCGTTATGTGTGTTATTTGATTATTGACACAGCTTTAAACTCGAACAGGCTTTAAATTATTGCATTGTGTGTCTACATTTTAGCACAATACACCGCCCGCACACTGGCGAGTCGTATTTCTAAAGACCCCAAACCAACAGTTCACGGAATCTGCTGTTGACGTTTCTCTGTTATTAGTTAAGTGGTGTATTGAACATGAGTTTGTTTGTGGATATAATGCCCAGCCATCTTTGAAATTAATCTCCTATCTGTAATAAAGAAATCGATGATAAACTGTACCGTTAATATATTACCGTAATGCTGCCAAATATTCCGTAATTTTGAGCATTTATTTCTTCCAAACAGTGTTATGAATATGAAGTAGTAGTCGATGATGATAGTATAAAATACATAAGTATTCAAAAAAAATGTCATATTTGAAATTAATGTCTCTGTCCGTAAGTTGCATGTTTAAATGTACTTTATTAAAACTGACGTAATACCGTGGTATTAAACCGCTAAAAACCCACCATCCAAGTTCGTCATCACTGATATCGTTGCTATACTGTAGTATAAACTTTTAAGTTAAAACTGTTATAAAAACCTAATGTCCAGTCATTTCTGAAATTGATATTCCGTTTGAAATTTAGAAAATATAATTATAAATTACACAGATTACTGTAAATTATACAAAGAAGCCTGTCGTGTGTCACCTCTATATTGTTATAATTATGTTACCGAACTCAATATATATATACCCTAATCTCCAGTAATCGTCGACATTAATCTGCTGTCTTAACAATAATCCGGATAACAAATTATATATTAAACTCCCCATTTCAAACACAGAATTAAAAAGGAATCTCCATAGTGCTGACATGTTACGGTATGAACAGATTGTAATTAAAAAAACTACTTCCGGAATTTACTGTATATGGTAGGAGCTCATGATATTCCGGATAATTTTAATTCTACAAACCCTGCGTTTGAAAGAAAGATGCCACTCGTGTAAGAACGGACCCAAAATTCCGGATTTTTGAATGATACAATTAGGTAAACGGACCTCCAATGAAATTCTACACTGCTGCATTAGGGCTATTGTGACAAAATATACCTAGATCAACTTGGATATAACATTTTAAAGCCATCAACATTGGACTCATTCAGTTTACAGAAATCTATTGAAAACAACTACAAAGTCGACGGACGTTGAATACACATTTGCGGTTTTCTAGACTTGACATTCGAACACAAATACGTATTATCCACATTTTAATTTGATTTTCTTCATGGCTGCCGTTCAATGATGTCGATATTTAAATGTCATAATAGATTTTAACGTTATATTTACTTAATGAAGTCATGTACTGTACAGAGCTGAATCGGGAAATTCGTATACATTAGATTTGTACTTTATTGAGAAGTAAGTTATTGAATCCAATAAAGGACGAGTAAATCAAAGATAGTTGTCGTCAAAATAAAGTTTTTTTCCAATAATTTATATACAACACGTGTCAAGGGGGACCCTCAATTTAACTTATAACATGTACCAATTAAACTGTTTTGGAAAAATATATATCTTTTCAGAGAAATCTGGATTTTTTTAAATTCAAGATTTGTACGTGTTTGTTGAACTTAGATGACGTCAGTTTATAATTCTGCATTAACACTTCCTACAAAATCGATCGCTTTCAAAGAAATAGAAAGGTGTCGTCTGCTCACATATCAAGGCTGCTAAGTATTTAATTAGGAATTACTTTAATCTCAAGCTGTTTGACGAAGAGCAAATGAGAATAGGGATCTTCGATAATACTGTCCATCCTATTTATCCGGAAATTTGATAATTCTTTATCCGGAATATCTACCGCATATGGTTTTGTTTTTATAAAAGACGCATATGTTGTATTGCGTACCTGTAGTTTTTATCAGTGCAGTAGTGCGCTTTCTGCCATTAATCGATAGCAGTCTGTTTTAGTTTTGATAAAAATATTTGCATACGTGTTTTAATGAGTTAAACCTATTGACTTCTAGGCGTGAATGAAGTCAATAAATGAAGGAAAAACTATGCAGGTATTCATGATTTATTACTGGTCGGATAAAAGATCCGGATACAAACACCTTATCACGGTTTTAGTGTGAAAATAGAGAGTTTGCGTGTCGCTGAGGCAGAGATTTTAACAAACACGTTATCAAGTAAGGAACTTCATACACAAGAGTTTCACGACAAAGATTGTCTCTATATAATGGATATGTGCAATGCCAAATAGGATGTACTTGACTGTTCGATTGCTTTGATTTGGTCACGACCAGGAAAGAGATCATTGGATACCCAAATTAAATATGGAGGTGCATGGTGGAGAATCTAAAAACATTATTTTGCTGAAAAATGGTGGAGTGGCTTC